TACTTTTATTGTTATTGAAGGTTATCTATGTAAGATATGTAAGGAGTTAAACAAATCTAAGAGGGATACAGGCAACCAAATATTAACTACCAGCCAAGTCCCATGTCACTGCTTACTTTTACAAGCTGCTCCTGATCTCACATTGAAGAGGAGCAGTAAGTGGAGAAATATTAGACTTTCTTCCTTTTTTGTTTTTTAATCCTCCATTTTCTCTGCTTGATTTGATTGGGCTGTTGCATAGCTCCACCAAACAACGAAACAGGAATGACTTATAGTAGCAGCAGCATGAGACTCAAAGACTCTCAAACTTATTGGAGGTAGCAAAATGGAAGTACAAATATCCCCTCTCCTTTAAGCACTGTGAAACCATACAGACATGTTACCTGGCCACCATTCACTTAATAGAAACAGCAAAAGAATGAACTGAATACATTAGCTGACACCCACTCTTTGTGGTTCAATTGTTTACAGCCTGACAGGTCCAGAAGCACTTGCAACAGCACAAATATTTCAGGACGAGGACATTTGTCTAGACGTTGGTCCTGGCTATTGAAGGAACAAGGGACATACTCCGGCTCCCAATTTACTGAGGAGAGGCACTAACATGTCAAACCTAACGCTATTCTAGAAAATCACTCTCAGTGATGAGTAGGAACCTGAAAGGAGAACCCTGTTAAAAGAAGACAAGATCCTCCATCCTATCGTTGCTCTGGGATTTTGTTTCCATTTGGCCTTATTAAAGGGAAAGAACATGAATAGAGTTTATTCTGTTTATTCTTTTTGAGATTTGCGATTTGGAAAAAAAAATCCATTCTGAAATGGAATAAAATAAAATAAAAATGAAGTTTCCCATGAAATGAAATTCCAAAATTTTTGTTTCTGGTTGATCAAAACATTTCATTTAAATAAAATTAAAGCATTTTATTCTGATTTCAGCTTTTTGATTTTATATTTATGTAACACAAAATAAATGAATAAAGGAAAGAAAAGTCATCTCAAAATGGAAAATCCAAACATTACTGTCATGGCATGGTCTCCTATGCATCCTTTCAGGCCTTAACTACAGACCACACTACTTAGGTCTCCTTCACCACCGCCTTTTAAAATTTTGTTATTTCACCAGGCCACGCCTATATATTTACATATATTTACAAGCCCCAGCCAGCTCCCCAGTTTGCTTCTGGGGAAGGGAAGGGAACTGAGCTAGGCTGCCACTGCCAGCCCTGCCTAACTCTACCTTCCTTCTGGCTCTCAGATCCCTCCCTTCCCGGGCTTCCTTCCTCTATTACATGCTCGGAGCTGTGGGGTTGCTTGCCCCTCTAATTAGCCCCCCAGCTGTAGCTTTACTCAGCTGACTGACTTTCCAGTTAGGTCTCAATTAACCTAAATTGATGGCAATCTGAGTGACAGGATGTGCTGAGTCAGTGGCTGATTCAGCGCACCCTGTCACAATTACACTCCAAAAAGGCTGAAATGGAACATTTCAGCCTTATCAAAATGCTTTTTTCCTCCCATTTTCTTTCAAAACAAACTTTCATGTGAACCAAAACAATTCCATAAAATATTCTGCTTTTGATGAATTGGCATTTTCTGAGAGAAAAATGTTCCATTGGAAAGTTTCTGACTAGCTCTAAACAGGAGAAAAAAAACAAAGAGAGCTACTCAATGTGAAGAGAAAAAATGGACTTTTATGGCAAAATACCATAATGTATAATTCAAAATGATAACCTTTCTATAGTTTTTTAAACCATTCTACTGAACCTAACAGATAATTTTTTTATTTATAATATATAGTTTAGAATCCTATAGAAAAGATTTATTCTCTAATAAATTCTATGGGAATTTTTAGAGTCATTTCTATTGAACTGTATTAAATATGTACCAAGTCCTCTTGATTCCATCCCTATTAAATTCTAGATGACTCTTTCATAAGGGTAAACAAGTTGTTTTGGTTCCTTTTTACAAACAAACAAACAAAAAAACCCCTAACACCTTTATATCTCCTAGGGGATCATTTACATTGCTGGACCATAGAAAGCCTAAGCTGTAATTGTCCTGATGGTGTACTTGCAGCCACCATCCTTCTAGCTGAGGAAGACTGGATGGGACTCCTTTCACAGCTCCTTAATGCCTTTCCTTAATTTGTTATAGGAGCTACTGTTCAGCAATACAAAGCATTCTGTCCATCCTTCCTAACCCTAGGTGTTGCTTCAGAAACACTTTAATCCTCTGCCAACCCAATGAATGAAAGACCATGGCCAAGAAAAAATATGACCTGAGTCCCATATGCAAAGGTACCATTATCACAGCACAAAGGACAGCTTCCTCCTTTTCTTTTACCTTCATAACCCAGGTTATCTGCTCAAGTACGCACAGACTAAATGAGGTTGTTTGGTTTATGGACACAAATAGATCTCGCTTTTTTGACTTGCAAAACGAATTCCACTGTGACTTCAATAAAACTTAAGTATGCTAATGTTCAGTCAACCAGTTGTCTATTTATTTCTGTTTACGCCAGCAGATCCATTAGCAACTTTTTCTTGTTTTCTTTTAGAATATTAAATGGTTCAAACATATTCTAAAAATTAGTTGATTAGCTTGTTAGGGCACATTTCTACTGCTTGTTCCTTCTGTAGCAAAAGAGAAAATGAAGGTAATTTTGTTTGCAAGGAACGTCTGATTGGAAGCTGACTGTTGAAAGATGTGTCATGTCAATGTAATGAGGGAGTGTAATATCTTAGTTTGCATCAATATGGAAATAACTGTGCAGTTTGACAGACCTGATGCTAAAGGCAGCACCAGAGCACTCATTATGCATTCAGCCTCTGATTATGAAAAATAGTATGTTTTCTTTTAAAGAGGAATACACATTATCAATCAAACAGCACCAATTATTTCCAAAAGGGATCACAGCTAAACAGGCGTGGGGTCTCTTCAACTATAACTGCACCTGAGAAAACCGACAGATATCAAAGTACATGATAATTTAATTTTATGACAGTTGAATTAATTAGGCAGTCTAAAATCCTGTTTCCTGATTGGCCAGTGGCTGCTGTGCTCATTGCTAACATGACACCATGAATTGGAACTACTTTGCTTTACTGAATCACATCACCGTGCTGTGCCTCACGAGTCAACCATGAACAGAGGCCCTGCCCCCTCCCCCCCCACCTTCTTGGCGGAAGTTCCTGCCATCACAGGATTTCAGCATAGCTGTTTCAGAGCTCCCACTGCTAAATAGCCACTCCCTAAGGTTTGGGGTTCACCAGAACCATTTTTTCTTAGCCTTCTTATCTCCTAGTTCTTCCTTTCCCTTCCCAGCCTTCTCTTTCTGCTCTCTCCTTCCCCATCCAACATGGAGTACCTCTACCTCTGGGTGGGAGCTGTGCAGCTGGCTCCATCACACAGGAGAGCCTGAACTCTTGCCCAGCCACAAGGTCCAGGGACCGCCAAAACCTATTCTGTTCACAGGATCCAAGCTCTCACCCAGCCTTTCATGGACTGGGTGAGGAACACCACTCAGGAGAAGATAGGCCCACCACAAAAAGGAATCAGAGGCTCCTGAACAGTGACTCAGCTACCACAGAGCCAAAAACAGTGCCAAGTTCAGACCACTGTGGCAACACTTCACGTTTAGCAGCAGGGGGAGCCAGCACCTTTGCCACAGAAAGTGAAAGAAGTTCAGAAATCAGAGAAAAGCAGCTCCTCTGCTTCTGGTAAGGATAGAAGAGTAACAGACCCCATTCTCCACCTTCCCCAGTCCTGTTTCTACACCCCTGTCCCAGGTGCCTCATCTGTTGGGGGACAAAGAGATCGCAGAGCCAGTGCAGTCAGCCAGATGGGGATTCCCATAGCTCTCTACCACCTCCAAAGCCACTGACTCAGGAGGCATTTCCAGGCATAAGGGGGTGTGGCCATAAACTCCTGTCTTCTAGCAATTGCCAGCTGTTGCAGTGACTTGTTAGCAGCCAGGTGCACTGTAGAGCAGCTCTAAGGCTCTGAGAGCAGAACTGGCTCGTGACAAGCCCCAGGATCAGGGGAATGCAAAGGTAGCATAAAGCCATATTTATCTCTCCATTAGCTTCTCTACTATGTACAGCTTACCCAGGCCCAAGAATTAGGAGTTACTTGGTTGCACAGATTATAAAGTCAGTAGGAACCATAGTGATCATCTAGTTTGACCTCCTGTATAACACGGGCCGTGGGACTTCCCTAAAAGTCCCATCATTCGGCCCTCACCACAGGCAAGATAAAGAGAACAGATGGGACTGCCTGGACATACAAAAATATAAACATTTATGTTAACAGAACTGAGCAATTCAGAAAAATCAAACTTGCTATTACTGTACATTAAACCTAGGTGCAGAGGACAGAGCACTCCCCTGGATCCTAGAGCTGCCTAGTTCCCCATGTGTGTAACTGAATTATATGAAGCCAGACAGTTTCATACAATCAGAGGTTATGCAGGCATTCTTCTCCAGAGCAACCACTGCTTGCATGGCTAAACAGCCATCAACATTGGTAAAGCAGCTATCTGGTCCTTCAGACACACCTATAGGGATTATAAACTGGCCTTGCCATCATCAGCTGATGTTGTCTATGGCAGGATGGCACTCCACACTATGAGAAAACAGCATATCCTGTGCAAACACTGAACCAAAAGATGGACCCTGCCCCAAACATCTTACAATCTAAATGCCTTGCACCCCAACCCCACTTGAAGTCAATGGGAGCTCTGGATGCCAGCACCTTTGAATATTTAGTTCATTGTCAGTTATATGGTTATTAATATATATTGTTTGAGATCTTCGCTTTGGAAGGGTGGGACCTATGGACAAGGTCAACCTCTATTTGACAGCTTTAGTTGTATGTAGAGACTGCAAGAGAGGAATTCAAACCACACCCACAGACACACCTTTCTCAGAGAGGGAAAACTGACAAGTAGAAAAAATTGCTCTTTTTAAATTCAAAACAAACATATACAACTACTCTTTTTACAGGATTCACCCAGCTCTGGTCTAAAGCAGGCAAAACACACAAACCGCAAGAAATATACAATGAAAAAAAGCAGGTAAGAAAAATGATATTTTCCTTTAGATTTACATATTTCATTTATTTTAGTTGGTCTTATTTATTGTCATTTAAGAGCAGGAACAAGTTGGGTGAGGATGCATTACTTAGTACTGCCACAAATTATTTTATTGATTCTTCTTTCTTAGTGTATTCTTTGCAATAATATTTGTACTGTACTGCTTGATAATCTCCATAAAACACGGCAGGGTGTGTCCCCTGCTGGGATATATATCACCACTTCTCAGGTAGCTGTGGCCTTTTTCCTTGTCCTTACCCCAAAGCATGACAATATCCTTGCACAACACACACACCCTGTCTCATCTACTTCCTTCATTTCTCTGTTGAGCCAAAGTTGTTATATTTATCTCTGAGCTGTAGTAGTTCTTAGCTGAGATGTGATAAAGAAGATGCTTTCTCTTCTCTTTATTTTCAGCATCTGTATTAAAATGCGGAATTCAAGCTGGGAGACATCTTGACAAAATGGACACCCAGCTACTTCTTACATGCAAAAGGAAGACAAGATGATAAGAGCAAAGTCACTAGAAAATGTGTATGAATGTAGGTAATTACCTGCAGTAAACAACATGAAGGAGGGCTAGAAATGCTAAAATCTTTTCTTATTTGAATGGTTTGGCTTTGTATGCTTTATGCAACAGGGGTTCAGAGACAAAAGGCTGAACATTAGAACTCTAAGAATGTGCTAATAACATTTATGTGTAATATCTCACAAAGGAAAAATCACAGCTAGGTTTCAGGTTTTTAAGTCGGGAGCAGGCAATACTATATAAATTAGAAACTTTACTATCCCCTCTCACACCTCTACCCCCAACTCTATTTCCATTCCATTGATTTGTCCCTTAAGAGCTGCATAAATGAAAGCTGCATTTTCTGTAAATAGGAGAAGTCAGGTGATCATGTAGGATTTCAGTCTGCTTTTGCATTCTAAGGTCTCTAATGTCAAGTTGTCTGTAATTTGTACTGAACCAGAAGCAAAATACTGCTGTGCTGTCACTGGAGTGTCACTGACTTCTCTGCAAAACTGAATCTCTGTGACATTTACACATCCTAAAGACCTGTCTGAGCTTTGCATTCCACTGAGATGATGCAGGAATTAACAGTTACTTGAAGCTTCAAATCGAAGCTCTTCTGGCATTTTGCAGCTATAGCAAGGAATAAAAACGATAACTTGTAACTGACCTTCTGTTCTGCTTCCTGAGAACAGCATGTGCTGTAGATCTATACCTACAGGACTGCACTGGAGATTTAAAGGCACTGCAAACATTTCTGAAGAAAATCTATTTTACGTAAATGAATTTTTGCCATTTATTTGGGGATAATGAGAGCTGTCTACTTTATAGTGAGGTGAGGTGTATAGATATTCCACATACAAATTGCCAAACATAGTGCTTCCTTGTTACCAAGGTGTCGCTCAACAGAGACTTAAAAAGGAAAGAACGCAAATCAAATTAACTTCAACTCCCACCAAGGAATCAGAGTAAAATTAGTACACAACTGGAGTATAGTGCTCTGTTCAAGCAACAAAGGGTCTCATTGTTTATAAGCATATTTGCATATATGGAAAACAATATCACCAAATAAACAAAAGGTTCAATAAATACCTTTTTAATTATATTGTTAGCATAATAATAATAGTTCACATTGCATTGCTGCAATACTGAATGTTTCCTCTTATCACCATCAATTATTGTAGACAGACCTGTTTAAATGAAAGTATTCCCCACCCCCATCATGGTCCATCTTGATCCCTCTCCATTCAATGAAGTTGCAGTCATTTACAGTACTCATGTATTGCAATAGTTTCTATGACAACAGATGATGATGTTAAGAGTAAAGAATTTTGACTTGGGTTTATGAATAGGAAGATAAAGGGAAATGGACTGCAGTGGAAAAGCTTTTCTTTCAAACTTTTAGCTGAAATATCTAAGCTATTAATATTTAACAACAAATAATTATAACTGCACAAAAAAGCAAACAAAATCAAACTGTTGTTTACCACAGATCTTTTTGTAGCAAGGAATATTTCTCTTCAAATCTTCACTTGGCTGAATTAGATTAGCTTTTGTGCCTCTCATGGGAAGAAATCTCATTGGAGAACAGGGGTCCCTCACAGATGATGCTCTGCTCAGGCCCAGAGGGAATAATATTCAAACACATTTTTACGATAATTTCATGAGCAAAATTCTGCCCAGATTTACCCCAGTGAAATTTGTCAGTGGAGATGCACAGAATGCAAGTTAGGGTAGAATCAGACTCATTACATTTATTATCTTATCCAGCTCTGTATTGCACTTTACATCCTGGGATTTGGCTTAGATAAGCTGGTTTAGGAGGAAGAAACCACAATTTCCCCTTAGCTATGACTGTCTGGTTAATATTATTGCTCTGATCTCTGACTCTGTTTACTAGTGATGCAAAATTTACTGACAGAAGAATTTTTATGAAAGTGAAACGAGACATGTCCAATTTTGTTATGGGATAATCTGTGCGAAAACATGTGCCAGCGTTTGTAACCTTTCTCATACTTGTTCTTTGTTTTCTATTAAATGTCAACTCTGATAGACTAGCTTTCTCATCTGAAAGGGCAGGTTTTTACTTCAATAAAAACAATACTTGTTAAAAAGAAAGACAGGACCTCAATAAAAAGCCCAAGCATGAATGAAATTTTCAGTCTTAATTGGTACAGCTACATTGCGCAGTTTTGTTGCTGGCATATGTTAGCAGAGAATATTTGTTGACAAGGGATTTTCAAGGTTATAAAAATCTTAAAGGTACTGGAGAGTGTGTAAATTAAGTCTGCTACAGGTAGATAATGTTCCCGTGATGCCAGAACTAAAAGTGCTGGAGCCTTCAGGTAAAACTTACAAGAGTATGGACTATGCACTGGGGGCCAGATTCTCAGCTGGTGTAAATCATTGGCTTCAATACAACAGTTTATTCTAGCTGAGGATTTGAATCTTGAGGTCCAGACTTGTATTTAATATGTATAATACCCTTAAGTGCAGCAGGTAAGAAAAAAAAGGAATCAATAGTGTAGACTTTTAAATGTACAATTCCTCTCCAGACAAATGTTGTGCTACATTGAATGCCAAACTCCTTCCACTGGGCTGAACATTTGGCAGGGCACTGAATGCACACATTGCTCCAGCAGAGTCACACCTGAAAGTGATGTAGCCAAATGAACCGGGCTTCAGCTACAATAAATGTTCACACATGGAAATACTAAATGTTAAGTGGCATGTTATTTACTGGGCTTGGGGATCTGGAGGCAAAGAGATTCTTATCAAGCTCACTCCTTTAGCTATGATGAACGCAACAAGAGAAGTGTGCCTTGGGTCACTGTTGTGATAGGGATACCAAGTAAAATGAAAGCCAAACACACAGAACAGTATTATAATTCATATCTTTCTGTATTGAAAACCCAGCACTTGCCTCAGCCTGTTGTCTTGATGCTAAATTAGAAAACTTTTGTCTCTTTGTCTCCTCTCCAAGATGTTCTAGATCTTATTTGTCATTGTCCCTTTACATCAGGCTAACCATACTGCCTACCAGCTCCCTGTTAAACCTGAAATAGTGACCAGAGCTCCAAACTAGCAAAGTTGAACTGCAATGAAATATGAAGCTCTGTACAATCTCCTCACTCTGCTGAGGAGCACAACCTGGATGAAAGGATCTGACAAGAGCCACCTAGCAATGGTGTCATTGGCAACAATGTAACAGTACTGAGGTAAGTGGGACTAGCTCCAGCTAACTTTTTCCCCCTGAAGTACCTCCATAGAAAAGCTGTCTGAAACAGATTTAGGAAAAGCTTGTAAAGCGTTTTAGCATGATGGAATTCTGCAACTTTAATGTAAATGTTATTCTGATTTAAAAGCTTTTGATTAGTATGTTATTAACATTAATATGGCTATGGGGAATGTTTAACTCTTCCCATGCCAAAGTAAAATGATCCCTTATTACTGAGTAAGGCATATTTACAAATATGGGAAAGTATAAAATCGCTACACTTGTATATTTCTGCCTTCTGTATTTTACAAATTTCAGTGCAATTAAATCCACCTGCTTTATAGGTTTTGTGGCTAGGCAAAATATCTTCTTCTGCGTTCATTTTTAAGCCAGCCTTACTATGCCTACCTCTTGGTCAGTGGCTATCTTAGCTTATTATTTCCTAAAATTTACCAGCCAGTTATATATAATCAGTGAATCCCTGTTTTGTGTCTTTTGAATCATCTAGTGGTTGAAAAAGGCACTACAATATTTCTACACCAAGGACTGCAGTACCTGGTCATATGACTCTGGTGCTGCCTAAAAGATAGCTGTGGTTTTTTTGTTCGTTTGTTATTTTGGAGGGTTGTGTTTCTGAGCAGGGATGAGTGAAGTGAACCCAACAGAGCTTGAGCTTTTGTGAATAACCTGCATTATCTTGAGGGTATGCAAAATTAGTTCACAGTTTGCAAAACTCTTCTTTTAATTTAAACCCATGTTTTTTGTTTGTTTGGTTTTTGAAGGGAGATTTAATTAAGGAAAAAGGTTTTTCTAGCTGAGCAGAGGCCTGTGCTAGGTATGTGAAATAGAAAAACTCTTCCACCACCATAAGTTAGGCTGGAACAACTAGGTACCAGAACAAGGTGCGTCATTTTCCACCCTCTCTACATCTCTCTTCTTTCTGTAGTGTCTTTCCTAAGTCAACTCAATAATGACAGAGTTGCATTTCCCAGTTTACAGCGTTAGTGTGTGTTCAAATAAAAAATTAGATGAAAAGAGTTAAACCAAACATTATTCTGAGTTACAGGAAAACAAAAATATAGGGATGGTCAAAGCATTTCTTAAAAACTGGGGTTTTTTCAAACTTTATTGTTTGTTTTACTAGTGTCAGCTTTCCATTAAAAAAATTTATTTTCCATTGAAAAACTGTTTCCCAAAATCAAAAACTTTTGGTTTTCAGCCAGAAACCAAAATATTTTGGCCAAAACCGCAAACATTTTGATTCAGACATGCTGCCATCGTGCCTTATAGTTAAATTGCCTCATGCTCCCATTCTTCTCTATAGGCTACGTTCCCCAATTAGACTACATCTCCCATGACGCACAACCCCTACTCACCAAGAGGGGAGACGAAAGTGTGTCATGGGATATGTAGTCCAACCAGAAAACCTAACCTATAGAGGAGAACAGGAGTCTGAGGCACACAAATTGTAACTCTCTTGAGATTTAGAGGTGGCATTTCTGAATCGAACTATTATAGTTTTCAACTGAAATATTTTGCGTTTTGATTTTTTGCCAAAAAGTTACACATTTTTAGTGGGGGGGGGAGGGGGGCTAGGGGGAGAAACAAAATTCCTTTCCCCATTTTCCAACCCACTCTACAAACACACTTATTTAAGTTGTTTATTTTTTCTATATTTAACCCAGACAATAGCATCTTTCTGTGCTTGCCTGATACTTGACAAGGTGAGGTTAGGGTACAATAGCTGTGCTTGCAGTTGGGGAAACTACTTTGACACTCATTTATTGAAACATTATCAAACACAGGCAAATACTGTATTTCGATGCTTCTTGTCCTTTTCAGAACAACAGTGATCTGGAGGTAACTTTAGCACTGATTTCAAATTATAAACATTCTATCTACTGGAAACTGAAGACACTTGGCCACTGTAAACTAAACTACCAGACCAGGTGTTGGGCTTGCAGCCAACATGTCATGTTTTTTTCCCCACACTGTACTACAAAGAACCTCAGTGCTGATGGGAAAGATATACTTCCTTTAGGGATCAGAGATAGTTAATTCTTTATAGTTGCTCATTTATTACTACTGCACTATGCCAAATTTTGTATTTCTGTATACTTTAATAAAGTCCCTAACACACTGCTGGTGCTATGCAAATTACTATTTTCATTCATTAAGAATTGGGCCTTTAACTGACTTTTCAACTACTTTTTCAGGAGTGAGATGTTTGCCATTCTTAAGCATTTAGATTACATGCTTGTGTTTAGTTTCTAAATACTAACAGAATTATTATTGATATAAGGGAAGTTTTTAGATGACAGACAATAGAATGTCAACAAATGTGAAATCTACATTTTGCACAGAAATATCTCAGTATCAAGTTTAAAATCAGCTATGCTCTATTACGATGCCACAATTAAAAATAATAAATTTACAAATATATTAATAGCTTCTGCAACTCAATAATAGAGCACTTTTCATCCATGGAGCTCAAAGTGTTTTTACAAAGGAGGTCAGTATCATCATCTATATTTTACAGATAGAGAAACTGAGACAAACTGAAGTGACTTGCCCAGGGGCGGAGCCAATAATAAAACCAGGTCTCGTGAGTGTCAGTCTAGTGCTCTATCCACTAGGTCACACGTTTGAACTGAGGCTTGCAAGATGCTGACAAACCTCAGCCCATGCTTGTGAACAATTGCCAAACATGAGGTTGTTTACATAAGATGAAACCCGCACACCCCTTTTCCACATCCCCAAATTCTCCTTGTCCACTCCTAAACAACTCTAGCATGCACACACCACCCTCTTCTTTCCCCTCTTACCTCAGTTGTCTTTCAGAGGGACTTGTTGAAGAGACCAAGGCATTCTTGGGAGAGCTAAAGGGAGACCCATGGAGGATGACTGGAGGCAGGAAGCAGCCAGCTGTGGTTGGGTTTCGCTTGCAGGTTCAAATCAAAATGGTTGGTTCACATCCATGTGAACTAAACTCCCAGGTTCCATTCATAAACTTACTCCTGCAGGGCCCTAGAGGTAATGCCAAAAAAAAAAAAAACAACAACCCCCAACCATATATACCAATAAATGCAGCTTTTACATAGCAGTTTCAATACATGGTTCAGTTTGTTAAAGTTTCTGGTCATCATTCTGTAGACATGACAGGACCACTGAAGCAAAATCTACAAAGATAAATATGCTTTCTCTCCAGCCATTTTTTTAACATATACCTTTTGGGGGATATTAAAAGCTCTCCACAATCTACAGTTAGTGTGAAAAATAAAGCCTTTGTCCCTTTTATATCTCTTTTTTTAAAAACATCCCTTTAAAGGGCATTCAAGTTTAGCAGCATTGAATCTATCTTCATGAATTAACCCTCCTGAATTTGAAGAACATATTAGATCCCTAAAATGAGGTGATGCAATAATGC